CTTCAAAAACTTAACCCAAGCCTATGATACTGCTGTCCTCTCAGACAGGAATATGACAGGTTTCACTATACAGTAGCGCTCTTCACAGAGGCAAGGATACTTTAACTTATTTAGAGCGTAGAGATAAGCTTAACGATTTTTAAGATCGCCCTTTGACAAAAGAAATGGTGTAGAAAAATATACAGAAAAAGATGTTACAATAAAAAAGACAACTTTATAACAGCAGTGAAAATAAAAGGGGAATAACATTAGGACGGAGTAATTGACATTTCTGGGTTTTGTAAGTTCTAGCAGAGTCCACTTCAGTGCAACAGAAGATGGATCTGAATGGCTCTTTCTCCAAGTAAGGCTTGCAAAGATTCTTTCTGGATGGTAAACAAGCTTCTCCTTCTGATGTTACAAGCTTTAGTGTTATGAGAGTCTGTCAGCTACCCTTGCAGCTAAGTATGGTCTCCATGATCGAGTCGAGCAACAGTTCGACTCAAACATCAGCAGTTTGTGTGTTTGGCGAACACACGAACTATCAGGGCATTCGGCGGGCTGTTCGCCCACTAAGCGCCCAATAAGGTACTGCGCACTGCACAGTGCCTTGTGAGCCCTGATTGGGTAAAGCAATGCACCTGACTACAGGTCAGGTGCAAGACTTTGCCCAAACACGGCACAGTGCGCTCTTAAGGTGTCCATACACCTTACGATTATCGCACAATTATTTTCGTATGATGATCGAACCGTCGTTCGATTTTCGTACAACTGCCCCATCATGTACAGACCATTGTGGATTTCAATTAGCAATATCATCTGGCCGAATTTCGTCGATTGACAGAACGGATTTTGCGCGTGAGCAGTGTTCTTGTTGGGGTTATTTTTGTACGAAAACGCCACTAATACATAGAATTTCGTACGATTCAATAAAAGTTTTCTAGCCTGCTGGACTGTGCGATTATTGTATGAAAACGCAATCGCATATGAAAATCGTGCGATAATCGTAAGGTGTACGTGCACCTTAAGAGCCATGATTGGGCATAGTAATGATAACTTTGCCCAATCATGGCTCACCTGTCGGGTGCCAGACAAATGTAAACAGTTGGGCGGAGCTAGCAGTGATGTCACCGCTAGCTCCACCCAATTGTTTATGTTTTGCCGACATTTGTCAGAATGCCATTCTGCGGTGGGAGTTCGTCGCGAGCGGATGGGTCCGCAGGCGTTGTTTAAAAAAAAAAAAAATCACTTCTATTTATTTTTTCTTGTTTTATTTTTTATTGCATCGCAGCATCGTCGTCGTGGACAAGGCTGGACGTCGTGATTGATGCTGGTGGATTACGTCGGTGGATCCATTTTTGGGGTTCACCCAAACTCATTCACAAGGGGGGGGGCGCATCTGGGTGCCCCTTTATTAAAGGGGTACCCTGATGTGAATTACCCCCCTGCCCGCACCCCCACAACCAACTCCCCAGGGCTTGTGGGGAAGAGGCCCTTGTCCCCATCGGCACGGGAACAAGGTGCTTTTCCAGGGGCGACCCTGGAAAAGCATCCTCCCAGTGCCGAGGGCATGTGACCTGGGATGGCAGGGAGGGGGGCACTCGCTCGTCCCCCCCTTTCCTGCCCTGCATGTGCTTGGATCAAGGGTCTGGTTGGGGATTTTGGGGGGGACCACATATATTTTGTCCCCATTTTTGGGGGTGGGGGTCCCTCATTAAAATTCCTCCCAGACCTTAAGGGCCTGGTATGACTTTATGGGGGAACCCCACACACTTTTTTTTTATTTTAACATGGGGTCCCTCCTAAAATTCCTACCCCACATTTTTTTTTGCTTTTTATTCAAATGGAGTCATAGTTACATAGTATTTGAGGTTGAATAAAGACATAAGTCCATCAAGTCCAACCTATTGCGTGTATGCATTTATGTTTGAGCTGGTGTGTGCGTGTGTACGAGTCCATGTGTTATTTTACTCTTAAGAGTACTTGTACCCCTGAATGTTACGGTCTCCGAGGAACGCGTCCAGGAGTTTCTTGAATGATAAAAGTGCTGCTCCCCTGTGCTCCCTCTTCTGTCGGCAGTAGAAAGCCGGTGTCAAGGCTCCCATCCTTTCTCCTTCAGTTCTCTCCTCTGCTGATTAACAGCAGGCAGTGGGCGGGTGCAAAGCCAGCCTGCTATTGGCTATTGCAATTTAAAATAGCCAATAGCAGGCTGGCTATTGCTCCAGCCACTGCCTGCTGTGTTTATATTCTCAGCAGGCAGCTGTCATTCCCAAGCTAAAACTACTGCAGTGGAAAGGTGACACTAGGGGAAAGGTGACCTACGTACAATTGAGCTACACATTCATGGCCAACTCTAAACTGAGGTCTGGGATTTAATGTATGTACATACAGTATATATATGTATATATTATTATTTTTTTTGTCTAATTTTGGTGTGTTATTTTAAATAAAAGGTTGGTTATTTTATTAAATTGGTTGGAGTTTTACCATTCAGATTATTTTAAAGGTGGAAAAAAAATCATTTTTGGTTTCAACCTGACAAATTCTGCTGTGGGATGTGCGTTGTGGTGCCATTCATTTCAATGACACCCCAAATCCAACTCCCGCTGGCAGGGTGATTGAGCACACTGGAACGCGCGGTACTGCAATGCCGTGTGTTCCAGTGCAGTGCGATTGTAAAAAATGTGCATGAAGTTTTATTCTGAAGTATCCTTTATGTTTGTAACACTCCATTTGCTTATTTCATTTTAAATGAAAGATGATATTGATATTTTTTTTATCCGATTATTCGGCCAACTAATCAATTATGAAAATAATTGTGAGTTGCAGCCGTATTGATATGTGTGCATTTCTCTTGAAGAGACGCAGCTATTTATGCGATTAATGTTACGATGTATTCTCTGATGCTGAGTTATGAAAATTGGGTTAATATTGTAACTCAGTTTATGACTTTCACATTTCTTCTTCATCTACCAGGCGATCTGTAGGGAGTTAGCTGAACTGTGCAAGACAATAAAGGTGCCCATACAACTTACAACCATCGCAAGACTTTTGTCTTGCGATGGTCATAAGCTTTTTAAAAGCTCGTACGATCTGCCCAGCTTGGACAGGCAGATCGTACTTGCGATCATCGAAAGCCCGCCCCGCTGAGGGGCGGGCTTCTGATGACCGCAGTGAGGGGCGGGCTTTCGATTACTGCAAACGGGCAGTGTGCGCGTGCGCACACCGGCCCGTTCGGCAGTTGTCGAACAAGCAGACCACTAATCGGGTTTTCAAGCCAGCTTGTTCGACGAAGTACGAGCGACCGTACAGTAGAAACGGTCGCACGCCTTCCATACACTGTACGATTATCGTACTATCGCAAGATTTCCCGCGATTCTCGTACGATAATCGTACAGTGTATGGGCACCTTTACTATGGTATTAGCTATCAACGACACCTGTTGTAAAGAGACCATGAGGACTAATTCACACCAGGTATGGGGAAAGCTTAAAGCTGCCCACACACCTTACAATTATCTGCAGATTTTCTGTGGTCAGATGGAAAAAGGGCAACAGATTGGCCCAGGTGGAGATTACTCCATACACACAGATAAGCGTAGATGGAGGAATCTGTTGCACCTTTTCCATCTGACCACAGAAAATCTGCAGATAAATTGTAAGGTGTATGGCCAGCTTTAGATACAATCAGGATTTAGTGCAAAGGTGTTTATATGGTCAAACATCTGGAGCTAGAATTGAGAATGTCTACACAAACTAGGAAGAACGCATTCCTTCTAAAGTGAGGGAGATATTATTCATAGTTAATAATGAGATGCTCAAATCACATTACCGCAGACATCCCAACTCTCGGCTCCCGGACACCAGTCAGAGAAAGATTTACTCCGGGAAAGGTTTACTCTGCTCGATCTAGCAGAGTAAACCTTTCCCTGCTATCTTTTTTTTTTTCATTTTTTCATAGCTATTCATTTCTATGCTGTTTTTTTTAAATGTTATTCTGATGGCAGCAGCTGTCAGAATACTAAAAAAAACAGCAGATAGCAAGGAAAGCATTAGCTTCTTTGCTACCTGCCATCATTTCAGGGGGGTGCTCTTTTTCTTGTTGCTGCACCCCCTGCGGATGGGGGTGGGGGGGAGACAGAGAGCACCTCCCTGAAATGAGAAGGACACCTCCCTGAAAAAATTCTAGAGTTGTCCCCATAACCCAAAGTGAGGGGAAATCATCCAATGTGCACATCTGAGGCGTGTTCAGTTGCTCAGCCGCTGAGAGTGCTGAGTTAGCAAACCGCCACTGAACGATGTGCTGCAAGTCAGCGCTACTAACTTAGCACTTGCACCGGCTGCAAGTGAATGTGGATGCAGTGCTGAGTGTGACCAGTGGGGACAGAGCACCAGCGGCCATTTTAACTATGGGCACATCTGGCAGTGCTGAAGAAAGGTGCCTACTCTCCGATGGAGGAAATAAATTTAGTGGGGGAACCTACAATTTAATGTTTTAGGGGACAAGCACACCAAATATTCGTTGTAAAATGGTATTTATTAGTCAAAAATATTATCCTCCGCCATTTTGCTTAGCACTGTGCAGCCGAACAGCTACTCAGCGCCTAAACACACCTCAGTTCCAGGAGACAACTAAGATGGGAATTCACCTCACATTGGAAGATTTCCTCTAACTTCCTGTTGTGTCCTCGTGTCTCTTAGACAGGAAATGAAGGGATATTTCCCCAATGGGACACATACAGCGGAAAAAAAAATGCAGGCAGGGATTTTAATCCTTCCCTACTCTATCTAAAAAAAAAAAAAGAAGGTTTTGTTTATTCACACACTTGAACCATTTCCTGACTTACACTTTTATACATGCATACTTTCATATGCAATAGTATGGGAGAAGTGGGATTTGGGAAAGCTTGCACGGAGCAAATGAAATGGAAATGAGTATAATTGTCATAACACAGACAGGAAAAAAATCCTGTGTTCACACTATTGGGTTAGGCGTCTAGCAAGCACTTCTTTACGGCACAGCACAGCACGTTGTCAGGCTACTGCAGGCACTTGCACGGACAGCCCTGAGTGTGCTATATTGCGGGGTCCTAACAGTCTGGCTGCTTCGGCTGCGAAGAGGAGACAGCAGCAATGGCGGATTTCGATACCTACGACGATCGGGCCTATAGTAGCTTCGGAGGAGGCAGAGGGTGAGAAAGCTTTGGCGTGCTCATATCAGAGAATAGAGGAGCTCGCAGCAGGCCGATATCGGGCACGCGGCAAGGTCTGAGGGAGACAAGGGACGTGAAGGGAGAGTGAGGCCCAGCGAGCGGGAGACGGGCCACCGTGCGGCAGCATGATCACGGGCGGCTCACATATCACACACACGTGTAGTATGGCACGTACAGTGTACATGGGGCCAGTACGGAGCGGGTATAGTATGTCGTTCTGTCACGGTTGTATGAAACCTGACGGCTTGGTAGAAGCCGGGCCTGTTCATAGAGAGCCAGTATAGCGGGCACACTACTGTGTGCTGATTGTGCCTTGTGGTAGCATGTACCCTGCCTTTTCAGAGGGCCTGTATCTACACATGACACAGCGGCCCTCATTTCTCCTCAGCACCAGGATTATTGTGGAAAACACATTACATTGCTGCCTGGGTAGACCACATTAAAGTGGAGTCCCAGGATATATATACTTAGATTTTCTAGTTCTCAAGATGTCTGTCTTTCATTATTGGATCCTGCAAGAGGCAGACTGATGTTGCCCGTGGCTAGGCTAAACGTCTGGGGCTAGCCATACACGTGAAGATTTCTCTTGTTCAGCCTGACAAGTGAAATAATTTGTATTTTTTTCCCCATTATTACTATTACATGCATTGTATATAGTGCTGACAATTTATGCAGTGCATTACACAGTGCACATTCACATCAGTCCCTGACCTCAAGGAGCTTACAATCTACTATGGCCTTTAGCACACATGTATACATACAAGGGCTAATATAGACTGGAGCCAATTAACCTTCCAGCATGTCTTTGGAGTGTGGGAGGAAACCCGCACAGGGACAACATGCAAACTCTTTGTCACCATGATATGTACCGGGGACCAATCCACCTGCCGGCTGTGATATTCAGTAAGCTGGTTTCTTGAGCTGTCAGAATACCTGACCAATGCAGCAGAGATATATATATATCAGGGATGCACCGAAGTGACATTTTTAGACCCAAAAATATACATTTTGTCAGGCTGAAACTGAAAATTACTATTTTTTGTTTTTCAACTTTTTAAAAATCTTTTACATTATTCTTGTTAAAATTATTATTATGGATGCAGCAATCCTAGTATTGGTGTCGATACCGAGTATTTGGGCGAGTTCTCGTTGCCAGAACTTCCGGTCAGAGCGAGGTCTCCCTCTGACCACAGGTGCCGAGGGAGCATGGAGACGGTTTATTTTCCAATCAAGAAGCTGGGCGGTGGGTTTTGATCCTCCTTCCTGATTGGGTAGGAAGCCAGCTTTACTTGTTGGTAGGCAGCCTGGCTTCCTAACCAATCAGGAAGCGGCAGGCGTGGCGGCAGGCTTCCTGATTGGCTAGGAAGTCAGCTTCACCTTGGTTAGGAAATAAGGCTACCTAGCAACAACTGAAGCTGACTTCCTAACCAATCAGGAAGCCTGGCAGCACCTCATGACTTGCCGCCCAGCTTCCTGATTGGTCAGGCAGCCTCGGCAAGTGAAGCCGGTGTCTTTCGCTAGAACACTGACTTCACAAGAAGCAGAGCGACAGATCATGATCCGCTGCCTGACTTCCTGATAATCGGGGCACAAGGAACCGGTATCGGTACTCGTTATTAATGCTATGGTGTACAGTCCTGTACATCAGTATTTGCAAGGCGCTTGCCTGGTAGATCGCAATGTCCTGTCCTCCCGCAGTGGGGCTTCTCCTCTGGATCCCCGCTGCTCTCCCCCGTCTGTATGCAGTGGGGATCCGAGGAGAAGTGAAGGAAGCGCGGGGGGGAGTAGGGAGCAGTAGCATGGCCGAGCAGTGAAGAGAGAGACGCTCGGCCAGGATCTGACAGCCGGCGGCTCTCTCTCTCACCGCTCGGCCATGCGGCTGTGACAGCGGCTCCCTCCACCGCTCCCCCCGCGGCTGAAGTGCTTCCCTCACTTCTCCTTGGATCCCCCGCTGCCTATGCCCGGGAGAGCAGCGGGGATCCAGAGGAGAAGCTGAGCCCCCCTGTGTGCGTGGCAGAGGATCGGTACATATCAGTGTTTGCTCTGTGCAGAGAAAACACTGGAGTGCTTAGCTGATCACTCAAGTGTTTGTAAATTACTGGGGACACATAGTGCTATGTGACCCCAGTTATGAATGAACAGGATATGGTTTACATCACTTTCTGTTCAATCATGGGTTATTCAATGGGGAGTAGCACTCTGTGCAGAAGCTTCTCCCCATTCAGAAACTGGATGATAGTAAATAGTTTCTGAATGAATGGGAAGCCTCTGTGCTTTCCATTAATTTAGAACAGAGGCTGCAGTAAAAAGCAATTACAATTAAATAAAAAATAGTAAAAAAATAAATCCTGGAGGCTGGGTGATGTCACATGCCTGTTGACTAGCCCCTTAAAAAAAAAAAAAAATACATGTGCTGCTCCTCATGCAAAGTCTCACTCATTGGTCCTGCCAGTAAGTTCTGTCTCATGCAGCGTTCTGTGACAGGGCGACAAATTGCTGCACTGCTCCTACATTCAGAGCAGAGTTTCCATTATCATGTAGGCTGTCCCTGTTTGCACAAAGGTGAGATGAGATGTTGCAGGGGACATGGCTCTCAGCAATGTCACCAGAGCTGCAGCTAACGATTATTTTCAAAATCGATTAGTTAGCCGATTATTGAGTTTGATTAATCGGATACAAAAATAATACATTTTAAAAAATGGCTCCAGTGATAGGACTACTAGTTTGTATTGAGATTGTAGTCCATCACAGGAGCAAGCTTGGAGCGGTGGAAGTAAAAAAGAAAAAAAAAGTGTGGTGTGCAATATAGTAAAATGGAAAGTGTAAAATTATACAGCAATGAATGCAGAATGGCACCGGCTATAGACGACTACACAACCCAGCAATAGTACATTATACAGCAATGAATGCAGAATGGCACTGGCTATAGAGGACTACAAAACCCAGCAATAGTACATTATACAGCACAATACAAAATACCACCAGCTATAGAGGACTACAAAACCCAGCAAGAGTACATTATACAGCACAATACAGAATACCACCAGCTATAGAGGACTACAAAACCCAGCAAGAGTACATTATACAGTGCAATGCAGAATACCACCAGCTATAGAAGACTACAAAACCCAGCAATAGTACATTAAACAGCGCAATGCAGAATACCGCCAGCTATAGAGGATTACAACAAATCCCAGCAATAATATATTACACATCGCAATAAGGTACTCCTAGAATGAGATCCTAATAGGTTGGACTTGATGGACTAATGTCTTTATTTAACCTCAAATACTATGTGACTATGCAATGCAGAATACCACCAGCTATAGAGGAATACAACAAATCCCAGCAATACATTATACATACAGTGTATAATGTGCTGCTGGGATTTGTATTCCTCTATAGTTAATGGTACATTGTGCTGTATATTATACAGCACAATGTACCATCAGCTATAGAGGAATACAAATCCCAGCAATACATTATAGAGCACCATGTGTGGGAAAGTGCAGGCTTACCTGAGCAGTCTTTCAGCAACTTGCTTCTGAGATCGGGCCTGTCTATTGGCGGCTGTCATCCCCCCCACACCTGCTCCTCCTTACTTCTCCTCCCCGCGCCGATCTTGGATGTGTGGCGGCGGTGAGTGTGAGGTGGGGAGGAGAAGCGGCGCACAGCGTGTGGAGCCGTGAACAGGGCCAACTAATAGGAAGCCGATTAATCCATGATTGAAAACGTTGACAACTTTTTCAATAATAGATTTAGTCGATTAGTTGTTGCAGCCATAAATGTCACTACTGATTCACAAGCTTGTCAGTCTGGCAGCAGGCTTCACCCAGCCCTGCCCACTGCCTTCTTTGTTCAGTACATTTTTCTATACATCAGGCAAAAATACAGTCTACATACTTGGCAGGGGAATGCATAAAACAAGGCATGTTCCGGTGCTGTGCATGAACAATTTTGGCTAAGTTTACACTATAGTGTAGTGCCAATTCAGCTACTGAGGGTGGTTTCTAATATTTGGGGATCAGGCTTTTTTTCTTTTTTCTCCTACAGCATAGGAGTGAGGCCTGGGGGTTACACTTGCTCAGGCTCACTGGGTCCTGACCCCTATCACTATACAAATCTTTGCCATGCCCTGCACTACTTTGCTCTTAAACTCCATCCCTGCCCTATTGATTGTCCCTCTGTGGAACACAGAACTGTGTTGCCAGATTCTTGCAAGGCAGCAGCCAAGGCATTTTTAATAAACAGCTATTTATTTGCAGGGGGCAATCAGTAGAACCCTTCTGATATTATAAGCTTAACGGAAAGTTTCTCACTTTCCGTCCTTGAGACAACAGGAAGTGAGAGGAAATCTTCTAGGAAGGGCAATTCACTCCTGTAAGAGGTATCATGGGAAAACGGTGTCTCCACTGAAGGTTTATCACCAATCCTTGCTTCCACAACAACCCAACATTTTGAAAATCCATTTGTCACAGGGACAGAAAGTGAGGTGAAATCTTCTGAACAGAGCACACACACAGCAAGACAAATGTTACAGGGGGTTAACCCTTCCCTATGCTGTCCAAAACTAAAAACCGTTTTGGCTGAAGTTGCACTTAAAAAAAAAAAAAAATCCTGTTCCGACTTACATACAAATTCAACCTAAGTACAAACCTTACAAACCTACAGAACCTATCTTGTTCGTACTGTTTGCTGCTTCTCCCTCTTTCCATCTTCTCTTGGCCCAGGATGTCAGTCCTGCCTTCTGCTTCAATACCTCTTAAAGTTGAATGATGCTGGGACTTGGAACACTGAGAACATCTTGTAGTGAAAGAACTTTTAGGATTGTGGTGGTTTCTCTTGATTAAAAGTCAGTATTCAGCCCAAGCTGCTTTTTTCAATTTCAAATAAAAAAAACCTGGAGTTGGCCTTTAAATGATTTTGTGCACCAAGAGTAATGTAAATATATTTCAACTAAACACATCTGAAAATCATAATCTTTCAGGCACATTTGTTTGAGGAATGTACTTCATTGCTTTCTTGTCGTCTCACCTGAAGTTAGGAAAAACTCCCCGCTCTGGTTTTAATGTAGGTGGCTGGATCCTTGACTGCATTTGTTTTCATTTATTTTTCAAATGATTGCTGCTCTTAGTAGGGATACTAGTATCAATGCAGAGGACTCGTACTCGCCCAAAGGCTCAGATGCTTAGTCCAAAACTTGAGCTTCCAGTAATAGGAAGCCGGGCAGCGGGTCATTACAAGCTGCCTGAATTCCTGATTGGCTGGGAAGCCGTCTCCATGCTCCCTTGTCACATATGACAAAGGAGCATGGAGCTGGCCAATCAGGAAGCCGGGCAGTGTTTCATTCCCCCTCCCCGGCTTTCTGATTGGCCAGAAAGCTGGCTCCATGCTTCCTCGTCACCTGGTGACGAGGAAGCATGGAGATGGCTTACCTGCTGATCGGGAAGCCGGGTGCGAGTCATTACACGCCGCCTGGCTTCCCTAATGGGACTTCCGGTATCCATATTCGGTATCGGCAACTACTGAAAAAAGAATATCAGTACTCGATACCAAAAAACCGGTATTGGTGCATCCCTAGTTCTTAGTGCATCCCTAGTTCTTAGTATACACACAGCAATATCTTCTGAGAAACTGGTATTTGCCCTTTTTTCCAAACAGTTACTGAACTTGCACTGATGACCTTTTTTTTTAATTTGATCATATTTTCTCAAACAAGGTTTTCTGAACAGAGATTTTAGATGTTATCACCATTTATACTTCATACTTGCTGGCAGCAGTCTGCTCGGTGAATAAGTAATTTCCAGTTGATCTTTGCTTTTGACATTCTTTTTTTTTAATCATATAATTGTTATTGAAAAGGTTTTAGTTTTACATAAACTGGGTGCAAGAAAATGCAATAAAATGTTAAAAAAAGAGCAAAACTTAGATACAAAAGCAGGTCGAAAAACTGAGAGTAGAATTCCCCCCACAGGACGATTACCATGTCATTAATCTCTTATTTATAGAGAAAGAACTGCATGAGATGACCGGCCCATGTGTGCAAAGTTGCAATAAAATCAACAAATTGTACATTTAAAGCCTCTCCAGCTATATTATGACATAATGACAAATGGGTATATGTTATAGAATATTATTCAGCCTCAAGGGAACTAAATATTAAGAGTGTACATAGAAAGTGTACCAGCCCTACCGACTAGTAGTTTTACATGAGTCATGACGTCCCGACCACCTGTCCCAGATTGCATAATATTTATAAAGGTTACCTCCATCTTGGAATGTCATTTTTTCAAAGGCGATCAATCGCTCCAGGTCCTCCACCCACATAGCCACTGACGGGACCGTAGGAGACATCCACTTGAGTGCAATAAGTATGCATGCTGCAAACAGAGCCCTGGATGCAGAAGTCATAGGGGTCTATTCACAAAGCTGCCGAGGGCAGCCGAGTGAATGACCGATCAGAAGTGAAGTGAGCCGAACACTGTTCGGCTATTCACTTCAGGCTGGTACGGCTGATTTCAGCCGTACATCGGCTGAAATCAGCCGTACATCGGCTTGCTTCGTGTGGCTTCGGATCAGCCGAACATGCTCAGCATGTTCGGCTGATCCGAAGTGCAGAAGGAGTTCGACTCAGCCGATCCAACATCTGGATCGGCTGAGCCGAACCTCCGGCAGGCTTCACACTGCTGTTCGGGCTATTCTGAAAGATCCCGAACAGCAGTGAGAGAATAGCCGAATGCCGCCGAGCGGCATTTGGCTCGGCTGTTCTGCTCGGTCCCTCAGAGGCACCGAGCAGAACAGAAAAAGAGTAAAAAAAGTAGAAAAAAGTAAATAGAAAACGATTGTGCAGAGCTAGCAGTGACAGCTAGCTCCGCCCAATAGTTTCCTATTGTCCGGCGGCTCTGCTGCTGTAAAAAAAAAAAATAAAAAAAATTTAAAAACTCTCCCTGGGGCCCCGGGAGTCTCCGCTCCCGGCCGCCAAGGAGAGAAACGCTGCTGTGTCTTTTTTTCTTCATTCTGGCACGAGCGATGTCAGAATAGAGGAAAAAAAAAATTCCCATTCAAAAGCATTGAGAGTTTACTATTGGCTATTTCAATTTGCAATAGCCAATAGTAAACTAGCATTGTTCCCGCCCTCTGCTGGTGGACCTGGTGGGGAACTGCAAAAGAGGGCGGGTACAATGCTAGTTTACTATTGGCTATTGCAATAGAAATAGCCAATAGTAATGTCCCAATGCTTTTGAATGGGACTTTTTTTTTTTTTTTTCTCTATTCTGACATCGCTCCGTGTCAGAATAAAGAAAAAAGACACAGCGGGGTTTTTCTCCTTGGCGGCCGGGAGCAGGAGACTCCCGGGGCGCCAGGGAGAGTCAGATGCTTGGAGATCAGTGTCCCTGGTTAGCAACCAGGGACGCTGATCTCTCTGAAAGTGGCCGGAGCCAGCCGTAAGATCACGGCTGGCTCCGCCCAGCTGTCAGAAGCAGGCTGTCGGCCGGCCAATGGCCGGCCGCTCGGCCAGCTTCGTCTTTCAGCACGGCTCAGCGCTCGACTGAGCCGCTCGGCCGTGATCGGGAGCTGTACGGGCTATTGTGAATAGCCGTACAGCACCCCCTCGGTTCTCCTGAACCGAAGGGGTCCTGGTGCCGAAGCTACGGCCAGATCCTTCGGCAGCTTTGTGAATAGACCCCATAGTCATATCATCCCATAGATCAGAGTTCAAAATTCCAAGTAGGCAGGCCAGTGGGGAACTGGACCAAGAAGACAGAACATATAATTCATACAACATCAGCCCAATAGCAGTCCAATTTGGGACAGCGCCATAGGAGATATATATATATAAGAGAATCTGGCTTAATTCCACATTTGGGGCATTTAGAGTCATCTTTGAGACTATTTTTGAAGAGAAATTCTGGAGCTCTATATGTCCTATGAAGAATGCTTATGACATTCCTAACATGAGATGATCCAACCTAGTTATTGGGATAGGAAGTAGAAAATCTAAAAAGCCCATGAGAGTAGGGCACCAAAAATAAAATCATCTAAAAATCCTCCTTGGGGGTGGGGAAGGATCTAAAAAATATATACCGTATTTGCCAGCGTATAAGACGACTTTTTAGACTTAAAAACATCCCCCGAAAATTGGGGGTCGTCTTATACGCCGGGTATGAAATCCGGAGTATAGCATATTTAGTGTGCACTTAGCAACCGACCTGGTCTGACATGCCCCATCTCTCCCTTTGTCAGCCCGCTCGATATGCGGATAATACTGTATGTACGGTAGCTTCGGCTACATACAGTATACCGTGCTGAGCCAATCACGGCGAGCGATGTATTCTATTAATGAATACAAAGCCTGCTCTGATTGGCAGAGTACATCGCTCGCCGTGATTGGCTCAGTGCGGTATACTGTATGTAGCTGAAGCATAAAGTATTACCGCACATCCAGCGGGCTGACAGATTAGCCTCCCTGGCGGTCTGATTATTTTATTAATTTTTTCCTTTTTTGCTCTACTTTTTTTTATTTTATATATATTTTTAAAATTCCCGCCAGTTCCGCCCCCCTGCGACGTGGACGCTCGCAAGGGACGGAGGACACAGCGGGCATCGTGGACAAGGTAAGAGACTGTAATCCCGCTTATGGTAATCCCGAGTGTGGCTTATACGACGAGTATAGCCCAAAACCTATATTTTAACAGAAAAAGTAGGGGGTCGTCTTATACGCCCAGTTGCCTTATACGGCGGTAAATACGGTTCTTTAGTAACACCTCCACAGTTTTCCTGCTACTCAAATAGGTGATCAGAAGTGCTGTCCCATCCTGCCACATGTAGGAACATTGATAATGTGGAATTACTTTGAGCTTACTTGACATAGGTTTCGGGGGTTTCTCTTTTACCGAAGTAGTAGTGAGAATTTGTTGAGGAAAAAACTGTTTCCAAGGAACACGTTTTGCCATTTGAGCAGCACAAATGGGGCTTTTGGGAATGCTGGAAGTATGCCTGAAGTTTAGATAGTGTAGACTGGCCCCAGCCATATAAACTTTGAAAGAACTCCACTCAGGCAAAGTCCTTGTTTCTGTTTTGAACATGGTGTGATGACTTGTTCAACGCTTGGAGGATGTGGAACCAGAAGATAGTTGCTCAAAGGCAGTTTGAACTATGCCCTAACCTCATCCTTATTTTACTGTTTGATTTCAAAGGCTTTCTAAACCCAAGTATAAACAATTTACTAGTTCTTGGATGTGATGACCGCATTACTTTTTTTCATTTTTCAGGCTAAGAACATTTTCAGTGAGTACAGAAAATAACTGTTGATCTTGTTAGAAATGCAATGTCCTTGTAAATTCTTGCGAGCTGCACCCTGTGTGTGAAACTTTATATGCAGGCGTAAGGTAAAAGACATGGCATCCTTATATAGTCTTAATTCAGTTATGACCATTGTAATATTTACAATTTCTTAAGCAGTAAATAAACTGGAAAGCAAGTCCTCGCTGACCTATAGCTGCACCCACTGTAGGGGAATTCATCCTCCATTGGCAACAGAAGCTTTTCAGTTTAACATTTTCCTGGTAGTTGCTTCCTCCCCAGCAGTGATTTGGCTGCTATGCAGCCATCTAATCTCTAATGTAAATATGGAGCAGCTGGAGGGGAGCGCAAGTAGAGTGCTGAAACCCAGCTTAAACTTCTTCACTACTTCTATTGTGAACTTTGAGGATGAACTGCTCCACAGTAGGTGTAACTACAGATGACAGTATCCGCTTTTGTTGGACCAGGTTCACTACGTGTCGGATCCTATGTGTAGCGTTGGGTAGAGTACCGCGTTAAATATGAGTGTCTATTTCAGGTCCCGACGTGGTGATGCTGGCCCTGGTCCTCGCAAACAGAAAGATCTTCCTACAGACCCACCTTTTACAGCGTATGTGGGTAATCTTCCATTCAATACTGTACAAGGAGACATAGATACCATCTTTAAAGAATTGAGTGTGAGGAGTGTGCGGCTAGTCAGAGACAAGGAGACAGATAAATTCAAAGGTAACCATTTGCTTTCTTGATTATTTCTCTTTTCAGATATCTTAAAAATAATTTTTGTTTTGTAGCATTCTTTTATTGAATGACAAGCACTTCTCTTCTTGGGCATAAAACTCTGACATAGATATTTTAAGTCTTTTATTCTGTAATTCAGTGTGGTGAGGTTTTCTTGCTTACTGACCTTTTAAAGCACAGTGTCCAATCTGTTTATGCATGAAGCAAATACTGGTGTATTTTTTGGGGTTGATTTGTAAGAAGGGAACATTTAATGTGATGTAATGAGCCTGCGGCACCCCAGCGCACTTGCAATGCACTAACATATTGCCATGTGCTGTCAAAAATGCTGCATGCGCTTACTCCGCATAAGTGTGAGCGGGGTGTCAGTATGGTAATCTCTCTACTTTGTCAGCACATGTTCATGTTTGATTTGCTTACTGTGTCAAACCTCCCTCTACTAGTTTAAGTGCTTTAAGGAGGCTGATATCTAGGTATTTTTAGATTGTTACTTCAGTTGCATTTAAAAATACTTTTTATTAGGGCTGGTAATGATTAAAAATTTTTTTTTTAATCGATGAATTATAACGCACATACAGATCCAACTACATTGGCCTATACACATACAGCACAGCAATGAAGTAATAAAATTAACTAGTATCACACTAATCCAGCACGTTAATCTCACGTGCCCCACTCAATATGGCCACCGCTTTAGTGGGGCAACTCAGAATAATAACGTGCTGGATTAGTGTGATCCTAGTTCATTTTATTACTTAATTAATTGCTGTGCTGTATGTGTATAGGTCAATGCCAGGGATCCCAACCTGAAATAAGCAATTGCCAATAGGAATCTGGCTATGCAATCGTATGCCTTTTTTTTCCTTTTCTGACTGACGGTCAGGCCGCGGCTCCCGATGTCAGAAAAGAAAAAAAAACAAAACGATCGCAGGGTAAGGTTTAATCTGCTCTATTTGAGCAGATTAAACCTTTCCGGTAAAAAGAGAGAGCAGATTAAACCACTCTCCCGGGCGGCCGGGAGAGTTAAGGTGCCCATACACTGCACGATTCTCGTACGAGAATCGCGGGAAATCCCGCGATCGTACGAGAAATGTGCAGTGTATGGAAGGCGTGCGACCGTTTCTACTGTACGGTCGCACGTCTTCCATCGAACCAGCATGTTTGAAAACTAGGGCTGCAACAACTAATCGACATAATCGATTATTGAAAAAGTTGTCAACTTTTTCAATCATCGATTAATCGGCTTTTGATTAGTTGCTCCTGTCCACAGCTCCACACACGTTGCGCACCGCACCTCCTCCCCACCTCACGCACGCCGCTGCCAGACCCGCTCGCATTCCACGCTACACACGTCGCACCTCCTCCCCGCCTCACGCTCACCGCCCGCCCACATCCACGATCGGCACAGGGACGCGGGGAGAAGTAGTCAGGAGGAGAAGGTGTGGGGTGGGGATAATATGGAAGGGGGGAGGAGTCGCGGACATCGACGGAAGACCCGGAAGCCGGCGGAGAGGTGAGTATGGATCAAAAGAACTTTGATCGATCAAAAAAATTAACGATTAATCTAAGGATTAATCGTTAATTTCCGCAGCCCTACTTTTTATTATTTATGTTAAGATTCCCAGACCGAATGAAACTCCATTGCGCATACAGCAAATTCTTTTGCTGGCCATTATACAGAATTGGTAAAGTACTGTAGTTGTTAAATAGTAAAGAGTTGCTAAGTACATTGCAATACTCCATTGTGCTGCCAAGACTATTTTTTTTTTTTATAACCCAAACATAGGTCAACTTGCCTTTACCCAAAGAGGTAAAATAGTATAAGGGTTGTATCATAAGAAGAGCTATCATAGAGTTCATAGTTGTTTTGAGGGCTTTTAGGATTTACTGAAGGAGGCAACTGGCACCTGCAAAGACATAGTAGTTTACTCTAAACATGAGCATTTTAGAAAAACTTCAGCAAAATTTGTTTATAATAGAACTATACAAATGTACCTGAACATATCCTCGTATATACCTGTAGTATTATTATTATTATTATTATTATTATTGAGGATTTATATAGCGCCAACAATTTGCACAGCGCTTTACAAAATGGTGAAGACAGTACAATACAATTTCAGTACAATAGGGTTAGGAGGGCCCCGCTCATGAGAGCTTATAATCTAGTAGTAGAGGCATGTTATACAAAAGGTAATAATTGTTTAGATTGAGTTATTGGAAGAAGTAAAAGGACCGTTCTTTTGAGATGAAATCGACTTCCCTGAAAAGATGGGTTTTTAAGGATCGCCTAAAAGTGGGCAGCGTAAGAGATGGGTGAACATATTGGGGTAAGGAGTTCCATAGGATGGGGGACACTCTGGAGAAGTCCTGGAGGCGAGCATGGGAGGAGGTAATTAGAGAGCAGGAGGTCTGGAGAGGACGGTCTGGGTGATATTTTGAGATGAGGTCAGTGATGTAGGTTGGGGCAGAGTTGTGAATGGCTTTGTATGTTGTTGTTAGTATTTTCAATTATATTCGTTGGGCAATAGGGGGCCAGTGGAGAGGATGGCAGAGGGGTTGGTTAGGTGGATGAGTCTGGCAGCAGCATTCATGATAGACTGAAGGGGGATAGCCTGTTTAGTAGTAGGCCAACAAGGAGGGAGTTACAGTACTCGAGACGAGAGATTACAAGGGAGTGAATTAGAAGCTTTGTGGTTTCGTTTGTTAAAAAGGGGTGTATTTTAGAAATGTTACAGAGGTTGAGTCGGCAAGATTTGGATAGTGATTGGATGTGGGGCTTAAAGGAGAGCTCAGAGTCGAGGATTACACCGAGTACCCTGGCTTGACGGGAGTGGTTCATTGTAGTGCTGTTTATTGTGATGGGGAAGTTGGTGGAGGGAACACGGAGAGGAAGAAATATTATAAGCTCAGTTTTGGACAGTTTGAGGTAGTGGTGTGTCATCCATGCTGAGATGTCACTGAGTAGATTAGTGATACGTGAAGAGACAGAGGGGGTGAGCTGAGGAGTGGAGAGAGAGAGATTTGGGTGTCATTAGCACAAAGATGGTATTGGAAGCCATGGGATGCTATAGAGAATAGAAGGGGACCAAGGACAGCTCCTTGGGGGAGTAGCACAAAGATGGTATTGGAAGCCATGGGATGCTATAGAGAATAGAAGGGGACCAAGGACAGCCCCTTGGGGGACTCCCAGGGATGCTTCACCTCCCTTGGGGGAGGTGAAGCATGCGAAAGCAGAGTCTTGGAGACCAAGGGATTGGAGTTTTATAAGGAGGAGCTGGTGGTCAACTGTGTCAAAGGCAGCAGAAAGGTCTAAAAATATGAGTATAGAGTAGTGGCCATTGCTTTTAGCAGTTAGTAAATCATTAGTAAGTGTTAGAAGGGCAGTTTCTGTGGAGGTTGAAGCCAGATTGACATTTGAACCATATTTTGGTCTTCTAGTCAATACACAAGGGGTGGAATTTATCAAAACTGGAGCAGACAAATGGGAGCAGTTGTGCAGGGCAACCAATCGGTTTCTCTCTCCAGTTTGTTCAGTTAGGATTTGAAAATGAATGAGAGAAGCTGATTGCTTGACTTGTACAACTGCTCCAGATTTTGTCTGCTCCAGTTGTGATGAATTCCCTTCAAGATGTTGTAAACTTGAGAATAAAGTAAACTACTTGTAGTTGGTAAATACAGCATAATTGGTACAGAATACTTGGTTGAATCAGTAAGGTTTACTTTGTAATTTATCCTTATATAGCATACAATTACACCTGGGAGAGTCCCTAAAATGGTGCATCAGAGGGAGGAGCTTCCTCCCATAACTCAAATTCTCTTACTACTCTTGCACATTTAGGACTATTTTCATGACTGAAAATTTTGCCCATGATCAGTTGCGCTTTTATTTTAATAGCTTGGTCAGTTGTGGATGCATATCATCATGTGATGATCACAGTACATTGTCATTGTAGATTAAGTCGGTACCACCTGTTCTGTTCATATAATTCATTTGCAATAAAGTCCTCTGACTAGTGTAGGCCAAGTATTTGGTGTTTTATATCCAGCTGTCAACACACACCAATGCTTATGTGCTTACCATGACTATTACTACCTTACCTATATATTTTAGGAGTTTGCTTTTCTTTGCTGCCGTCTTTCTTCTAGGTAAAAATAAATGAGAATAGAGACTAATACTAAGATGTGCACTCATTTGTAGATATGTCTTAATGTACTTTTTTTTTACACCTAACTCAGGATTTTGCTATGTAGAATTTGATGATCTGGAATCCCTTAAAGAAGCCTTGGCATATGATGGTGCAGTAAGTTTTCTCTGTCCTTCTTCTTTTTTTTTTTTTTT